AATGGTGGGTCAGTGCTGAAACAAAAAAGTTTTTCTCTCTGTCCATTAAGCCATGTCCTCAGAAAATGTCTGATATCTGACCTTTCCACACTGCCATTTGACCTGTGACCTCAAATTTCGCACTGATGATATGTTTCCTGCCCATCACACTATACACCGAATATTAAGAGCATAGGTCGAGCCGTTAAGATTTGTGCCGCAATTCCGTATTTCCTCCTATACCTTAAGTTAAGGGGGAAATATTCCCCCTCCGTTGACACATCTTGACCTTTGACTCTTGACCCCAAAATTTGTCATCCCAAGTCCTTTTCACGATCTTCCCCGACGTCCCGAATATCGTGACCGTACGTCGAGCGATTAAGATTTGTGCCCAACTGTTGACGCACGGACGGACGTACGGACGAACGGACAATCATGCGATTCTACAAGGTGCGTACAAATTAACATCTACGTCAGATAAGTTAAAAATAAAAAGTAAAAAGTAAAAAAGTAAAAACAATACATACTAAAGAGGTAGGTAAAGGAAAAAAAAGGAAAAAAGGGGAAAAGCCCTGCTGCTCCCCAGCTGGGACTCGAACCCGGAATCCCGGTATAGGAGACGGATGTTCTAGCAATTAGGATACTGCGCCGTTAAGGGTATACCCCATGGATTCACACGTACGTGATGTTAATTTGTACGCACCGCCATCTATTGATGAATAGAATTTTTATGAATTTTTAACTTTTTAACTTTTTAAACTTTTTTCAATGTTTCAGCCAGAGCCACCTCCCAGACGTGCTGATTCTGAAAATATATTTAGTTTTCCTCTAGGCTGAGGAGTTCTCTAGTTATGCGAGTACAAACTAATTCGGCTGAACAACTTTATATATAGATGCGTACGTATTATGCACGTTTATCTGTCTTATAGTAGCGGCCGCCCTGCATTTATATAGTTACGCATGCACGCACACACAAATATATACTATCAAGAGCAGATAAAGAAGGAGATCGTACAAGGGTAAAATGCTGAAAACATGCTGCAGTATTAGTCGAATTAATAAACTTTTCCCGTTTTATTTTGACGATCCTTTGCAGTATTATTGATTAGATGTCTTACCTTGTTCATATAAAACAAACCGCATGTCCCTACGATGCCCCTACGCTGAGATAATGAGCGGTGAAAATCTGGTATTTTCACCGAAAACCGACTCGAGATCAGTGTTTACTGCGTCCGTCTCTCGAAGTGTTTCCAGTGTCTTGCTTCCGGTCGCCGCTGTGTAGCGCCATAGTGGCGCTGACTCACGTAATACTACCAGAGTTTACTATACATCCAGCGTGAGGTGGGCGTGAGGTGGGTACAGGTGGGGGTCATCACTATAGCAATCAATAACAGACGTCATTCATTCCATTTGTCAATCATTGACGAAAACACGCGAGGTTTCCCAAAGTAATAACACTTCGAGAGACGGACGCAGTAAACAGTGATCTCGAGTCGGTTTTCGGTGAAAATACCAGATTTTCACCGCTCATTATCTCAGCGTAGGGGCATCGTAGGAACATGCGGTTTGTTTTCGTCAAAATAAAACGGGAAAAGTTTATTAATTCGACTAATACTGCAGCATGGTTTCAGCATTTTACCCTTGTACGCTCTCCTTCTTTATCTGCTCTCGATTCAATCAGGTACGCAAGCAAAAAACATGGGCTACGATATACGATATAATATTGATATTATTTATTAATCTGTCGATTATTATGTCGGTAAATATATTTTGTGGTAAAAATTACCAATCTTCATTCAT